AGGTCAAGACAAGTGGATTACCTGAGCCCACGGGTTCAAGACCAGCCCAGGCAACTCGGCAAGTCATTAACAAGTCTGCCCCTTCCTTCGGCATTCCTTGTTCACCGAACTTCTCCTTCCCCTGGACTGTCCTTCCTCCTCATCACCTCTCTGATCCTGACTGTCCTCAAGATCTAGCTAGAGTTTCACCTGCTCCAGGGAGTCCACACTGATTGCCAGCCTCACACAGAGATTCCTTCCCTCTTCCTTTCTGAAAATATATTTTATTTTAAGGATGTGTGGTACAATTCAGGATTATGTACACAAGTGGACATCATACAGGTAAAGTCTGGGCCTCCCTTTGGTCCCCACTTTGCATGGTTTGAGATCAGGTACCTTTACTGATGTTGTATCTCCCCCACCACCCTGGCAGTATCCTACTACTGCCAATCCCTTTCTTATAGTATTATGGTAAATGTTCAGGGTCCACTTATGAGTGAGAACATGCAGTACTCTGTTCTTTGTTTCTGTGATAGATCACTGAGTATGATGGACTCTAAATTCATCCAAGTTGCTGCAAAGTCCATATGTTTGTCCTTCTTTATGGCTACATAATATTCCATCGTGTATATGTACCACATCTTTAAAATCCAGTCCAGCTTTGATGGGCAGCATGGTTGGTTCCATGTTTTTGCTATTGTGAATAATGCTGCAATAAATGTGTGTGTTCAGGTATCTTGTTTGTAGAATGATTTGGATTCCTCTGGGTATATTCCCAGTAGAAGAATTGCTGGGTCATATAGAATGTCAATTTCTAGTTCTTTTAAAAATCACCACACTGTTTTCCACAGAGACTGAACCAGTTTGCATTCCTACCAGCAGTATAGAAGCGGTCCCTTTTCTCCACATCCTCACCAGCATATGTTGTTGTTTGTTTTATTAATGATGGCCATTCTTACTGGAATTAGTTGGTATCTCAATGTGGTTTTGATTTGCATTTCTCTGATGATGAATGAGGCTGAGCACCTTCCCATGTGTCTTCTGGCTGCCTGTATATTTTCTTTTGAGAAGTGTCTATTCATGTCTTTTGCTCACTTTTTAATGGGACTCTTTGTTTTTTTCCTCTTGTCACGTACGAGTTCCTTGTAGACACTGGATGTTAGACCTTTGTTAGATATACAGTTGGCAAATATTTTTTCCCCATTCTGTGGGTTGTCTCCCTGATGATATGCTCCCGTACTTCAAAAATCCAAGAGAATCTGTCAAAAACATCCTTGCACTGATAAAGGACTTTGGCAAAGTCTCAGGTACAAAATAAATGTGCAAAACACAGTCGCATTCTTATATACCAACAACCAAAAGTCAGAGGATCAAATAAAAAGCACAAACACAAAAAAATGAAATACCTCAGCATCTTCCTAACCAGAGAAGTGAAAGACCTTTACCACAACAACTACAAAGCACTGCTCAAAGAAATCCAAGACACAAACAAGTGGAAAAATATTCCATGCTCATGTATAGGAAGAATCAACATTGTTAAGATGTCCATCCTACCAAAGGCAATCTACAGATTCAATGCAATACTCATTAAATTACCAACATCATTCTTCTCAGACCTGGAAATGACAATACAGAAATTCATATGGAAATATGAACAACCATGAATAACCAAAACAATCTTTAGCAAAAAAAAAAAAACAAAGCAGGAGGTATCACACTTCCAGACTTTAATCTTTATTATAATAATCAAAACAACCTGGTATTGTAATAATACCTGATATTGTAATAATCAAAACAACCTGGTATTGGCACAAGAACAGGCATATGGACCAATGGAACAGAACAGAGATTCCAGAAGCAAAACCTCAATTTCTCAACCAACTCATCTTCAACAAAGCCTCCACCAACAACCACTGGGGAGAGGAGAACCTATCCAGTAAATGGTGCTGGAAAAACTGGTTGACCTCATGCAGAAACAGGACCCCTACCTATCACCATACACAAAAACCAACTCTAAATGAATCAAAGACCTAAATGTAAATGTAAATGTAAAATCTCAAACCATAAGCATCTTAGAAAATGTAGGAGACACCCTTACGGAATAGGCAACCAATTTCTGATCAAAACCCCAGATGTTCATGATAAGATAGACAAGTGGGACCTCATTAAACTGAAAAGCTTCTGCAAAGCAAAAGCTAATCATCCCTCTTCTTCACAAACTGTCCCCGGTTGTTTTTTCTTTGCTTTATGCATCCCAAGTAATACCTCCCCAGTCAGAAAGGAGTTCTAAAAAATACATTCTGATTAATGGATTCATCAAGCATAACAGAGCAGTCTGAGGACGGATAACTATGATGGTACCTGATACTTTCACAGAGCACTTTCCATTTCAACTCATTGGGCTGATTTTGAAAGCCCCAGAAGGGACGGGAGGAGGAGGCACAGACCAGCACCCTTCTCTTCTTTGCCCTTTCCTACACTTCTAGGGCTCCTTTGGCTCAAACAGCCGTGGACCTGGAACAGTACTCTGTGTGCCAAACCCTATGGATTCTTTATCATCGTTGCTTCTCACCACCCTGAGAGGCAGGTAGTCAGTGTCCCATTTTACAGATGTGGTAACTGAGGCACAAAAAGGCTAAGTAACTTACCCAAGATCATGCAACAAGACAATGACCCAGGCACGTCATACCGGGCATTCTGCCTTTAAAGCCTAGGCATGCAACCTGCCCCCAGCTGCAAGAAATAGCACAGCCACCATGGGCTGTGCCTAGGAGTCCTCCCGAGAGGAGAGGGCAGGAGTATACAGACCTGCTTGGAGGACTCAACAAGGAAGCAGACAGAAACTGAGGAAACGCAGTCGAACTGAATACTATGTGCTCAGCCAACCAGCTCAGAAGAGTAGGGTGAGGTAAGCAGGATAAGAAAGTGGTCAGAGGAGAGTGGAGTAGCCAGGTCTTGATTCTTTGGCTGGACAAGGGAGTACTGGAGAGGAAAGGGGATGAACAGGCCTCTACCTAGAGCATGAAGGAGCCACTCTGGGCATGGCAGAGGGCCTCTGCTATGTGCCAGACACTGTGCTGGGCATTTGTTATAATCCACCTTGGGAGTCTCAGGACAAAGGAAGAAGGTTGGGGAGAGTGAGAAATCCAGTTAGCTGGGCTGGATGGGACCAGAGAGCAGGAAGAAGAGCTTAGACTAGTTGGGAATAACCAAAGAATGGCTTTGGGTCACCATTTAAGCCTTTGGTTGATGCTCCATTCTGATAAGTCAGGATAAGGGAGCCCAGAGCTCTGGCTGGCCCCCATTAGATGTCTTGGAGAACTCAGACCAGGCCTCCATCCCCCTGAAAGAACCACAGAGGCGTCTTCTTGTACCCTCAGGTTGGGCAGGACTGGGATAGGCTACCATGGATGATCCAGGGCCTAATGATAGGTACTGCTGTCACAGCAGTGGCTGTCAGCCTGGGAGATTTTGTCCCACCCCCCACTCAAGCATTTGGCAATGTCTGGAGACATCTTTGTGCAGTGCTGCTGGGATCTCGTGGGTAGAGTCCAGGGATGCTGCTAAACATCCTACAATACACAGGACAGCTTCCCACAACAAAGAATTTTCTGGCCCACAATGTCAATAGCACTGGGTTTAAGAAGCTCTGGAGCCGGGCTCGGTGGCTCAGCCTGTAATCCCATGCCTTCGGGAGGCTGAGGTGAGTGGATTGCCTGAGCCCGCGGGTTCGAGACCCTCCTGGGCAGCGAGACCTCATCTCTACAAAAAATAAATAAAAAAATCAGCCGGGAGTGGTAGCTGTAATTCGGCTGCTTGGAAGGCTGAGGCGGAAGGATCGCCGGAGCCCAGCAGGTAGAGGCTGCAGTGGCTGGGAGCAGTGGCTGCACTCCAGTCTGGGCAACAGAGTGAGACTACAACTCAAAAAAAAAAAAAAAGAAAAGAAGCTCTGGAGTAGAGCGAGGGGGTGAGAGGGGCTGAAATCCAAGCCACTCCCTGGGAGGAAGCTGCCTCTACCCCCAGAAAGAGGCTTCTTTTCCTAATTAATCCAAATGTACTGTGAGGACTAACCTCTCATGATAGCATTAGAGGGGAAGAAAATGTCTCTGTTGTCACCTAGGCTGTGATTTGTGCAAAAAGCAATTTAAAAGAGACAGTCTTTAATAGAGGTCAAAAAGTCAACCCATGTGACGATGTCACCTCGTCTCCTTGGTGGCGAAGACAGCCATCTTAAAGCACCGTGACATACCCACACAGGTGGCAAATGAGATGCCATCACAGATTCTCATTGCAGGACTGTTTCTAAGCGTGAGGGATCAGAAATGACACAAATGTCTACCGGTCTACCAGTTGGAAACAGGCTGAACAAGCAAAAGAATGCAAAAGAATGGGGCGACTTTCGAGCTGCAGAAATGAAAAGGACATCAGGACACCCTAAGTGAGAAACGCCAAGTGCAGGCCACCGTGGAGGCCAAGGCTTAGGTGAAGAGGAGGAAACTTGGTAACCATATGGCAATTGCTTACATTCCCCGGAGGTGGTGGATTTCAGGTTGAATGATGCATCAGAATCACCCACAAGGCTTTTTTAGCCATCTGCACGTCGAATACTGTAACATCAACCTAGCTGTCGCTTTTGGGAGGAGAGGGGAGGGCGCCCCGCTTTGTGTCCCGGCGTTGAGCCGCCCTGCTTCCCGACCCGGCCGTCCACCCCGGCCACCAGCCAGCGGCTTTAGACAAAGGCCTGCAAGTGGCCTCCTTCCCTAATCACCCCAAGCAAACGCGCGGAGATTGTTTCCCTCTCCTAGAGTGGCCGCCGAGTGAGAAGTTCATGGCGTGCGAAGGAGTTCCTCCGCACGAAGAGCTGGGGCCGATACCGCAGCCCCCAGCGCCCACCCTCTCTTCCCTGGCGCAGGACGCCAACAGAGGTCTGCGGGGAGGTGGCCGCCAGCCAGGGTCGGACCTGGCCCTCCAAAGCCCCCGCCCCCGGCCCGCCCCCGTCGAGGGGTGGAGCGACGGCTACAATGGATCCTCCCGCGGGCTTGGTACGCGCTTGGAATCCAGCTGTCGCCGCCCCTCCGAGACCCCGGCCCCGAGGGCGCGCAGTCCCGGGCCGCCCACCACCCGGACAGCATCGGCAGCCGCCGCCCCGGCAGAGCCCAGAGCCGCTCCCGCCCGCTCCGTAGCCCCGGGCACCCCCCGAGATGCCAGTCGACTTCACCGGGTACTGGAAGATGCTGGCCAACGAGAATTTCGAGGAGTACCTGCGCGCGCTGGGTAAGCGCGGCCGCCGCGCGGGGCGAGCCGGGAGGGCAGCCTCGGCCTCCGCCCCGGGCCGGCCCCCAGGCTGCGAGTCGGGGACCCGGGCTGTTGGGGTTCCTTGGTGACAAGTGTCTGCTGGTTGGGCTCTGGACGTGGTGATTTTTTGCGCGAAGCTGGGCTTGGTTTGCCGGGGTTTGTTTTTAAAGGGTTAACCTGAGGGCAGAAAACTTTGTTGCAAAAAAATAAAATACAAACAGAAAAGGCGCAGACCGGCTGCCCGTAGAGACCGCGCAAAGCCAGGGGGAGCCCCAACAGCGTCCTGGGCGCGGCGGGCTGCCGGGGCCCCGCTACCTTGGGAACGGTTCTCTGCGTTTTCGTGCCAACCATCTGTCCCCCCATCCCGCCTCCTCTCCCCCGCCCCCCGCAGATGTGAATGTGGCCCTGCGCAAAGTCGCCAACTTGCTGAAGCCAGACAAAGAGATCGTGCAGGACGGCGACCATATGATCATTCGCACGCTGAGCACTTTTAGGAACTACATCATGGACTTCCAGGTTGGGAAGGAGTTTGAGGAGGATCTGACGGGCATAGATGACCGCAAGTGCATGGTGAGGACTCGCGTGCACCCGGTGTCCCCTGCGGGGAGCTGGGGAGGGAACCGACTGAGGGCTGGGCGATTTCATTTGAGAGGGCAGCAAGGGCCTGTGTGTTTGGAGGGAGGGACTGGAAACTGCCCACTTCCAGTCCCCGTGAGAGGCAGCACCCCGCTCCATCCAAACTGGATGGAACAGTTAGGAGGCTGCCATTTGTTGAGTCTCCCCTGCGTCCAGGCACCCTGCCAGGTGCTTTATACACATGACTTCATCTAGGCATCACACAGCCTTTGAGGGAGATACGAATACGCCCATTTTACAGATGAAGAAACAGTCTCAAAGGGATGAAGTAACATGCCCAGAGATGCCCAGCTAGGGAGGGGTTGGGCAAGAATCCCAAGCTAGTCTGTGGACTGTGTTCTTTGGCTGACTTTGGGGTGGTGGAGGCAAAAGGGGGGAAAATGGAGGAAAGAGAGAACACAGGGAACCACTTTGAAGTGTAAACTTCCCTCTAGGAAACTGGGGACCCCTTGATCTCTGCTGGAAGGCCTCTGACCTGCCCTTCCTTGCCCTGAAGCTGGGATCTGGCCCCAGGCCATCCCCCACCCCACCCAACCATGGAGTGTAGCTGAGCTTCCTTTGAACCTTGCAGCCAATGCTTACTCAATAGGTCAGTGCCCCCTGCAGCCCAGGCCAGAGGAAGCAGCAGGGGGGGAGGGAGAGGGCCTTGAGCCTCCCCTCCCCCAAGGGTGGGAAGCTGGTGACCTCAGACACCCCAATTAGCGCTGCCACAGCAGACTCCGGAAGGCCAGCCCCAGGCCTCCATCAACATTCTCCCAACATTCTCGGGTTGCTCGGAGGTCAGGGTACTCCTAGTCTCCCTTCTATAGTATTCAGAACTGGCACATCCCCAGGGGCCACCTTGCTGATGGACGGGGTCCTTGCCCGCCCCCTCCTACCATTTACCACGGGTCTTTGCTGCTGGTCTGCTGCCCGTGCCAGTCACCAAAGCCCAGAGGGAGAAATAAGTAACCCCATATTATGCAGCAACTGAGGCTCAGAGAGGTAGAGATTTGCAAGAGATGAGACGTGAGCCCTGGGTCTTCTGATGTTAAAGTTCACTCTGCACCCTGCAGGCTCCTCTGTTGGTAGCCTTTGCAGAAACAAGACAGCTGAGTTTGTTAGGATTGTGGCTGCAGGAATGTGATGCTGCTGCTGGGAATAAGGAGCCTGGAGCCAGCCAGCCAGCCAGCCAGCCAGCCAGCAGGGATGACTCATCCCCCCACCTTGTTTATTCATCTGAAGGCAGTTAGGGCTGGTATCTGAGTCTGCTGCTTGGAATGATGGGAAAGAAGGGGTGGTCAGCAGGGAGTGTCCTTGGAGGGACTACAAGTGGGAGAAAACACTATTGTAGCAAAATGTCAGGCTGTGCCTTAAAAAGTCTCAAGACCTCTTAATCTTCAGGAAAGGCTTAAGGAAAGGGGACCTTCAACAGAGTCTGTCTTTCCCCTCACTGTCCAAGACCTGCTCACTATAGGTCTGTCCCTATGCAGTCCTTGTCCCAGCTCACTCTTGGGGAGCTCACAGAACACATCAGATGTCTTTCTATTGGGGGTCAACTACACTCTAAAATGTGCCGGCTTGTGCTTGGCTGGTAATCACTCTTTCACTCCTTCACTTATCCATTAATGCATGAAACATTCATTGATCCCCTAGTAATACTAGCGAATACAGTACTCATCAAGTGCTTACTATGTGCCTGGTGTTGTTCAAATGTGATATTAACTCATTTAATCTTCACGATACCCTTTCCAACCAGTTTTACAGATAAGAAAATCATGGCAGGATGTCTTTGTGTGTGACCTTGGGGAGCTGCAAGTGTCAGAGGGAGGTTTGAGTTCATCACTACGTTGCACATACTACTTCCCTCACGTGCTGGTCACTGCACCAGGCACAGGAAGGCAGAGCATGTCGTAGGCCCTAATGTCCAGGAACTCATAGTCTTTGTGGTGGAGACAAACACACAAACAGTCACAACATAACATGACAACGGAAAGTACAGGGTGGGGGTTGGAGGATTGGGACCACCCAGAGAAGGCAAATTCCAGGATTTCTGGAAGAGGTGACTTCTATACTTGACTGTACAACAAAAGGAGCAGGGAGAGAGAGAGAGAGAATTTTAGATACAAAGGAAGGGACAATGGCCACCTTCTCTTCTCAACCCAGCATCAAGTCCATGTTTGGTGAGCAAAAAACGGAATCTAGCAGCTGGACAACATCGATGAAATTGGGCTGGGATGCACGGCCATTGTCACTGCTCCAGTGGGGAGACCTGCTCCCAGGTAGATGGACACTCCTCACCCACTTATCATGGCCTGTTGGGAGGTGGGGCTCTTCTGCTCTGCTCAGCCTTCCCTTGACCCCCTGAAGTGCAGAGAAACCCTTCTCTAGGGCTGCCTGCTGGATGGTGTGCAACTTTGGATGGCCGGAAGAACATGGCTGGGTGGTACAGGATAATAGAGTTAGATCAGCTGTCGCGCCTGAGGCTTGTGAGTGGAGGGGAGATGGATGCCCAGAGGCTGAGCTGGTGGTTGCCAAAGATAACTTTCACCACTACCCTCTCTGGCCCACACGCTTGGAGTTTGTTCCCACACATCACAGGAGTCTCACTCTCACTTGGGATCACTCACTCATGTATTTTGTTCATTCCTCTATGGGTCCTACAAGCATCCCAGGGTGCTTACTCCATCACTGCAGCCTCTGTGTCAGTGAAGTGAGTTCCTACCCTCACAGAATTCAGTGTAGGGGGAGGCAGACTGGAGCAGCCATTCTCACTGTAGTGAACAATGTACCAGTCGGGGCAGAGAAGCACTCCTTCCTTAGTCTGAGAGGTCAGGGCAGGTTCCCACAGGAAGTGGAGTCTGAGCTTTGGCTTGAAGGATAGACAAGAAGTAGCTGGCAAATGAAAAGGGGCTGAGATGAAGGCCAAGGCCAAGAGTTATCCCATACCAGGCCCTGGGCTCAGCCTTGTGGTCATGGAAGCAGCAAAGCCTTCTGGAAACCCAGGCCAGTGGATGAGACAGGCACATCTTCAGGCTATTACAGGCCAGTGTATGATGGGTGCCCAGCGGGCTAAGAAACACAGAGCTGGGTGTAGGGTAATAGGGAACATCCCAGAGGAGGTGAGAATTAGAGCAAGGCTCTAATCCCAGCACTTTGGGAGGCTGAGGTGAGAGGATTGCCTGAGCCCACGGGTTCAAGACCAGCCTGAGCAACTTGGCGAGACCTCATCTCTACAGAAATCAAGAAAAATTAGCCAGGTGTGGTGGCACGTGCCTGTAGTTCCAGCAACTTGGAAGGCTGAGGCGGAAAAATTGCCTGAATCCAGCAGGTCAAGGCTGTGGTGACCACGAGCGTGCCACTGCCTTCCAGCCAGGGCAACAGAGTGAGACTCTGACTCAAAAAAAAAAAAGAATTAGAGCAGCTGTGGAGAAAGGGATGAGTGTTGGGCAGAGGCAATCTGATGCACAAAGGCCCAGAGGTCAAAAAGCCTGGTTGGGCTTGGGTTTCAGAGAGGAGAGAGGTTCAGCTTGGGAAGACTTCAGCATGGCCTGAGGCGAGAGGAGATCCCTGAGGACCTGGTAGGGAGCTGAGATATGACCCCTGGGAGCCCTTACTGGGAGAGGCATGGCCAGGCCGAAGTCCCTCTCCACAGTGACAGAGGCTGGCTGGCTAAGAGATCTCTGATCCTGCCCCTTTTCCACAGCAACCTTATCTGTATTCTAGAACAGCAGCCAAGGGGTGAAATTCAGTCTGCAGATGTGTTTTGCTTGGCCTATACAGTGTTTGAAAAACTTCAGAGTCAATTGCCAATGATTGCCAAAGATTGTTAGATTTCATAGAAAAATCTATATTTTCTGACTGGTCTTTCCAAAAGAAAAAAAAAAATCAAGAGAGCTGAAGATACTGGGTGGCTGTTTATTCCTGAGCCATGTGAATCCCTGGAATATTGCCCAGTTGCTCGCTTTACGTGGGACATTCTCCAGGTTACCACAGACCTCATCCCACTCTGTTATCTGACGTCAAGGGTCAAATGGTCATTTGTCACTGTTAGAACTATGGGTTCCTTTAAAGCGGTAGGTCCCAAAGCAGAGACAGCAGCAGCATCACAGGAAACCTCTTAGGAAGACAAATTGCCTGGCCACACCCCTAATCTACTGAATCAGAGACTCTGGGAGTGGGGCCAGCAATCTGTGTTTCAATAAGCCCTCCGGCTGGTTCTAAGGCTTGACATGCAACTAAGGATTGAGAATCGCTGCTTTGTAGTAAAGACACATCTGTCTGTACCTGCGGCTCTATACAAAGTGTAAAAACTATACAATTAGTCACAGAGGGCCATGGACCACTGGCTGGATTAGCCCATCGCCTGACCCCTGTGGACATTGGAGTCCATGCCCAGAACCACCTGCATGGCTCTGTGGTCTTGCCCCAGCTGACGGGTGGAGGGACTCAGACCTGTGTAGCTCACACTTCCAGTCTGGTCTGTTCAGATTTTATGTGACCCACAAATAACAGGGGTTGTGGTCCTAGTGGAAATATGTGAAGGCTGAGTTTGGCTAGCCAGACAAGGGCTTTTCTCCATTACTTCTTGGATTTTTTATACATGAAAATGTGATACCAGGCCCAGAGAAACCAACATCATTTCTTGAATATAGCACTTGTGGGCTTTGGCAGAATCGAGGGGGTGGGGGGGGGTTTGGGTGTTGGGGAGGGAGTCATGAGAAAGAAAGGTGCTCTTCACCTTCAAACAGTGTTTCCCTCCTGGGCAAGGGAGGGCCTCAGAATGATTTGGTTCTTTGTCTCCAAGTCCCCCCAGCATGAGCGTCTTTTGTGGGAGAAGACTGAGCCCTGGCCAGGAATCACAGGCATGATTCACAGGCAGAAGGGCCATTTGTCATCCCACCGTGGACACCAGATCAGGCTTTCCCTGGAGGAGGCTGCTTTGTTCACTTGGG